CGAAGAGGCCACTTATCTAGAACGAAATGAAACGGGGAGGGGAGATTTTTAGAACAACATTCGCGTTCATTTAAATTCCTCCCTGATTTTTCTCTCTCCTTCTCTCCGACCTTCTTCTTCTTCTTCATTTCACAATCCTCCACGTTTCACTCTTCGCTTTCATTCGTTTTTTTGCGCACGTGCTTCTGCCGAATCCTCTGCTCTTTCGCAGATATATAAACGCTGTCAGATCCTGTCTATTTATTGCGTTGCAAATATCGGTCGGTTTTTGGACCTGAAAATCTGTCTCTCTTTCTGCAAGCTCAAAAACCTACCTCTCTTAATCCTTTTCTTTGCGCCGCGTAACCTCTTGCGTTGCTCTTTCCTTTTCGCTTCTTTCTCTCTTTCTCTCTCACGCTCGTGTTCCTCGAAGGTGCCCGCTCGCTCCATTTCTGTATTATGCATTATTCAGGACATATACACTGGAACGGTTCGTGACGGGCTAACTGGCACACCACCGGAAGTTAGGCAAACGAGTCCTGAGTGGCCGTGGATCGTCGCGACTCCACGGAGTAACATCCGTCTACTGATTCTCAACGCCTTTTCCAGTATTACCACCTCAACTTCATGAAGCTTTCAGAACTTTTCTGAACAAACGGCAGAGAAATTATCGTCGCTAAATTCTCTACTCGGACGGTTCAACGCAACTGAACGTTCTTCGGTGTGGCCATTTGTCAAATTTGATGGAACAACGTGATTAGAATCCGTCACGTCGCGGCGTTTCACAGATTTATATTCCTGCTTGGAGAGACGCTCTCGACTGTCCGCGACGAAAAGGTATTCTTTCATCCGTATCATGGTGAGCAGGAAAGGACGAGAAGCGTATTGTGGTGTGTTCGTAGGTGCCGGTGTTCGACATGCGTGTCGTGTTGCTCGTCGTTCTTTTTTTTCTTCATTCACGCGGGATCCTGTCTGGAATACCTACGTAAGAGGATATGCCGTCGTCTCGTTTGCTCGGAACACGCCGCATACGCTCAGTCCGCATATATTCCGCCCTTACCTCCGAGAACCTTCTTGCCTCGGGACAACGTCTGGCCAGGGATATTGGAAGCAGATACGTCTTCATCGACGCGTTAATTGGCGGAGGTTTCTTTTTCGTGGGTGTCGAGTTGCTCAGTGTCTTAAATTTTTCTGAACAGCTTCGCGTTCCCGGGCAACGTAATTTCCATGACATCTCCTGGAAATGTCACTCTAGTGCACTCTCGACTACAGAAACGAGACGATCGTTTTCCCTCAGTTAGAAAATCGAGAGGAGCGAGGAACACAAATCCAGGTGTATATATATATATATAGAGCGAAGGAATCCTCTCGATTACACGCGTCGTTTATAATCCGATACGTGGTGGATGATACGGAGGAATCGAGCACGAAGGCTATCGAAAATCTCGTTTTACTAGAACAGCCTGCTGGATCATCGGACAGAGGAAGGTACAAGGATTTCAGGAGCAGGACAGGGCCCCGTTGTGCGTATCTTGGACCCGATGGCCCCGAAAACCGGTTCCATCTGGATTTCACGTGACACGCGCGTTTCTCCTTTTTCGGGGATCCAAAGGAATACGGGCCCCGCAGATATATAAACTGTATTGCATTACGATTACGAGCGCCATTATCTCGTTTCCTCTGGTAAACAGCAATTGTAGACATCCGACAGAACCATATTTAATCCGGCGTTCTTTTTTTCTACCTGATTGAAACCACCAACGTGAAGCTCCTATCGTCGACGGTTTCGAAGCTCGTCTCTTTCGTTTTTCAACACTTCCCTTTAACTTTCTTGGGAACGGAGTGCGTTTTTCAAAGTGGGTAAAGAGTAACGAACGAGAAAGTGACTTTTCACGAAATTTCGCCGGAGAAGTTTCTTTTTCATGTCTCGGTAATCACGGCCGGAAGCTGTAAATGTTCACGCCTCGATCGAGCCCCCCTTTTAATTTCTGCTCGGCTGCCTCGGAATTGATAAAAATTCTACGTCACACGCAGGATGAGCATACCGGGTGGCGCGTTAATGTAAGGAAAGGGAGGGCGTGGACGGCGTGGTTAATAACGAAATTTATAAATTCAGTAGGTGTAACGCTGCTCGCTCGCTCGCGTCTACGTTTGCTCGCTGGCGTTGCTCCCCTCGCGTTCGCGCGAAAACCTCCACTGGATACCTCGCCGCACAACGGCGTGTTCACTGTGTGCACATCACCACGTCGCCTGTGGGGCGAATCATTCAAGGTCGCGGCTAGCATCGCCCAAGGTCAACGTCTAGATCTCCCCGAGTTAGCGGGCTCGATGCGCCGGGTCAACGCCCGGATTACTCAAGGTCAACGGTTGTCTAGCCCGGGTCAATGGCCTCCAGTCTCAAGGCCAACGTCCGGATTATTCGAGGTCAACCAAGGGGAGAATCGCGAAACGCGAAGAAGAAATATCGTGGCGCAGTGCCGGGACACTTCGATCGATCGATACCGCGAACGAGCCGACTTCCTTTTTACTTTTTTTTAATTTTTTTTTTTTTTCAACGGATCACCCGAAGAAAAATTGGCCACTCGTTTTGAAGACAAACGAAGAATCAGAAAGATAGAAAAGAATTTGACTCGGCGAATATATAATATCGTATATCTCGTAAATTTGAAAATTCTCGTGAAAATATCGGGAAGATGTGAAGGAATTGTACAAAACAGGCGTAACAAAGCGATCGAGAAAAAAAGAAACGTCGACGAATGCCACGAACAGCGAGGCTAGACAATGAAAAATAGAGACGCGGCGCGGGAGAAAATTTCCAGATTTTCATTGAAAATTCAAATCAGTTCCGAGACGAGAATCAAGGAAAGTGTGAATAAAGATCGCGAGAGAAGAGAGACGACGACGATGCAGAGAGAACATAGAAAGACGTAAGAGAGAAGTAGCAGCAACGGGAGAAGGAGGAGGTGATGGAGGAAGAGGAGGAGGAGGAGGAGGTGGTGGTGGTGGTAGTAGAGGAGGAGGAAATAATAACGACCCCGACGTCGCAGTGCCGCAGAAAGGTTGACGACCCGATGCCAGGCGACGCCCTCTCTCCCCTTATCGCCCTACCATCCCTTCTCCATCGCCCTCTGCAACCATCATCCCCCTTGCAGCAGCTACCACCACCGCCCTCGGCATCCCCTACTCGTCTAAACCACCCACCTGGTACTGCACGTCGTAAGCGCATAGTGTACGTACGCCAGAGTCACCCACCCCCGTAATCCCTCTCTCTGTACGTCGCCGCCACCACCACCACCACCACCACCACCATCGCTCTACGACCGTCTGGCCAGGGTCGGGGTCATTGAACGTCTATAAAGATTTTGACTCTGCGTTACTGGTGGTGCTGCTACTGGTGCTGGTGCTGCTGTGCCGGCGTCGCCGCCGTTGCAGATACAGGAAGCGGAGAGCCGCGGAGTACCGCCCTTTTGTAAGGTGTGTAACGCAATCTGTTGCCCTCTAAGAACCACGCTCCCGGCTCTTTTGTTGTAATTCGAGCGGAACGATCGATATCGAAATTATCGAGTTATCCGATTGTTGCGACAGACTGTCCGTGGTATCCCGTAGGACAAACGTTTAGATGAAATGTCTCGTATTTCTGGAATTTCAAGAACCAAAATTTGTGCTGCGGATATTTTAGGTATAATAACGTTCGAGTAGCGTGAAAAGTTTGCGAATTTTCTAAGAAAGCAAACGTCGGAATCGGAAATTCCGCGAGTACCAGAAGAGGATGATTGGAGTGTCCTCTGGTGGAAGGATGATAATTTCGGCAAGAAGAACAAAAGGAACAGGCGGAAAACGTTTGAATGGGGCTCGAGGAAATTTTCGTCACCGTTGGTGAAAGGAGGCGGGAGGATATAGATCGGCGCGTCTTGCCAGGGTCAGAGGTCATTGAACGTCGGTAAAGATTTCGACTCCGGCGATGCTGTTCTGCAGTAAATAGGCGTGCGTAGCGCTCCGCGTTCTCCCACCGACATTCTGGCCAACCAGACCAGGAGTGCTCGGATGAGGGGTCACGGGTACGAGACACCCTCTTTGCGATACATACTCTCGTTCGTGTAATCCCTACAGGCTACGTGAATGCCATTACGAGCGTAGTAAACCACAAAATAAAAATAAAAGTAACCCTCCCATTTGAATATAAATTTTTGCGATCATCGTCGATATATTATACGCTTTGCGGAATTGCGAATTTTAAATTATATCTCTTTAAGGGAAAGAATTGCCTTTCGTTTCGATTTTCGAAAATCGAAAAGACGCGCGACGAAATATAGTAACGCGCAAGAAAGAAGAAATCGAAATATGTTACGTATTTCGATGTATCTATCGTTAATGAGAGAAAAGTACAAAGGCGAGACGAAACGCCTCTTTTTAATAGGCTAAACGATTTTAATATCATTCATGATCAAGACGCCTACCACGTAAAGCCGGGCCCTGTACACGCAAGTGCTAACATACACAAGTAAAACAGGCATCATCGTTCATGCACAATCGCGCACGCACAAGCACGTGTGCCGCATTAATATCGCCATTGGTAACTCGTCGCTACGAGATCCGTGCCAATAAGAAACGCTCCAAGTACTTTTCTTTTATGCATTGCTTGATTTTATTTTTCAACAGCGATGAATAAAACAAATCAACAAATGCCCGATTCATTGGCATTGTTCGCTTTTGCTACAATGCAGCATTCCTTGTTCGAATCTCAACAATTCTCCGCAACAATTCACGCAGTTCATATCAGATAACACTTTAACCTGAGAAATCGTTTACGAAAATATTCATCCAATGTTTCACAACGAAAAGACGTTTACGTTATTACTGTATACAACTTAATTTATAATTTAATGCGTATTGCGTGAACGTTAATCGAAAGATATTATTTATTTGTTCGTGAATGTTAGCAGTAAAAAAAAAAAATGTACGTTATAATAAAGGAAATGTTTGATGACGTGTTTCTGTTTAAGTATGTGAAATAAACTTACTTTGCTGAAGTATCCAACTGTGTGACAACCTTCAGAATCGCCAATGGTCATCACGTAGAAAAGAAAAGGTTCGACGTCATAGTACAATGTTTTATGGTCCAAGAAGAATTTAGCTAATAAGCAAAGATTTTGACAGTATTGCTTATAACGTTTCCCGTCTACTTCCCACACGCCTATCTTGTCCTTTCTGTGGGTGAAAAATAAAACCAAGAATGTATAAAAAAAAAAAAATAAGAAAAAAATGTAAAACAGAAAATTAATATAAAATATACATTAATTATACATTTACCTGTACACTTCATGACCGGGCGGATGTCTCCATAAACATTTCTCCCGATGTCTCCTTAAAACTTGTCGACTTTTTGCATACCGCAAACAATATTCGCATAAATAAAGTTTTGGAGCTCGGCTAAACTCTTCTGGATATGGACTTTGGTACCACACTTCCATTTCCCATTTTCCCATTTCAATGACTCGCGTGCCGCCACCATTTCTGCCCTCGCCGTCATAATCTAACTCTTTTAGCTCTTTTTCCTGTAAGAAACAAATATTGTATAATTCGTGTGGACACAATGTAGCACGAGGTAGCACTTTTCTACATACAATTTTTTCACTAGCAATCGCTTGCGCTTCCATAAACAATTTTAAATCATAATCTGGTGTTAAATTCGTTAAGCGTGGTTGACGATCTTTCTCGTTTCCTTGAAGTTCACAACTGCTATCGCTTTCGTTTCCATCGCCAGTGTTCCCCTTCCATTTATTTCTCATCTCCCGCACTTTCAGCTGATAATTGCGTTGTTCTGTTGTTTGATGCAAACCCTTTGGAGACTTTTTCGCTAAGCATGCTATAGCTTTCTTTCGATCTTCTTCGCGTTTTTTTCTCTCTTTGTAAAATTCCCTGAAAAAAAAAGGCAAAGAATATTTTTTTTTAACGCGTCGATAGACCACGTCCGGTATTATATCGCAACAAAAATGTCACTTACGCGCAAGCTTGTGACGTAGTATTATGGTACAAAGGACAAGCTTCTAAAGTGAAATGTGAATCGAGTTTTCCAGAGAGATGACCCCGAGAATCACATGTTGGTGCTAGGGGACATTCTCTCTCCTTATTTACGCGTGTACGACCGTAATTGCCTTGTCCTGATCTTCCGCTAGTAGCGTTTGATGTACTACTGTTTTGTGGTATTCTGTTGGACCCGGATGAGTGTCTGGCAGCGGTACTAGGCCCGGCACGTTTAACAGGCGATTTGCTGGTACTCCTCTTGCTCTCAGCTACTCTCGATAAATCACACCGGATCAGGGGAATTTGCAGGATACGTTTACACGCTACCGTTTCCGTACCTGAGAACCATACTGCCGCCGTAAGCAAAAAGACTGTATCTGCATCTTAGGACACCTTGGACATGCTTTTTTGTTTACGAAAAGTTTGTCCCACCGACCACTAGATCCCTACGAGCCATATATATGTCCAATCCATCCATCCAGAACCGCAAATACTGCTTTTTTGTGTTAAGGAGGCAGCATAGAGTCCTAAATCTACCGCCTGCAGAATATTCTCTACCCGCCTCTTTTCAAAAAATTCATGCTAAGATTTCTGATTTTATCCACTCAATTAAACGAAATGTATCTAGAGACATTTACTACGAAAGAACGGTGGTACTATAGTAATAATGTACCTATATGCATTGAAATTCGCAATAAGATTGCTATAAAAGATCGATAATAGAAACTGAACGTACAGGAGGAAAAAATACGAGGACAATTGATTAGTCTAATTTCTAAAGCAATGTTGTACAAAACGAAAAATATAAATTAAAACTAATATGCACTAAGGATATGCAACTAATACACACTTGTATCAAGTAAAACATGTTAGACAGTATTTAAGAGGTACAAATTCTTTACGTGGAAACAATGCATAAAGAGACAGAGAGAAGATGTAACGTTAGTAATGAAATATCACATTCGATAGCTTATTGTTATAATATATTCGTACCTGTATCAGATTCCGAGTCGCTGACCGCTTTTGTTTGAAGTTGAAGTAATTTGCTACCTTTCCGAGTCTGCAATTTTCGTTTGCCTTTGGTCGTTGCTTTCGTCGTACCTGTTTCTCCATGCTCATCCACTTCCTTTTCACTTGCGGACGCATCGGCTTCATCTTCACTTTTTATAGTACCTGATAATCAAATAAAACACAGTTTCTTCTTATTTATGAAAATGATTATAATTAATAACACAAACCTTGTCGTTTTGTACACTTTTGTGGTTTTACAGGTGCAACCGTTGCAGATGGTCGCTTTGGTGGAACATTTATGGCGGTGCTAATTGCTGTACTTGACTGAGTATCTTTTTTCTTGACTTGTGATTGTGGACTTGCGACACTCTCTGACGATTCAGAATCAGTGCTGCTGTCTGTGGAAGCTGAAGAACCCGATCCTGCAGAACAACTCTTTGAACTTGCAGAACTGTCTGACTTCTGCGACTGTGCAGCTTTAGTCAATAAACCTAATACAATAAAATAATGAATTGAAAATTATTAATAATATTGTAAACATGGAAAATGATGTGACATTTACATACTAGGTCTATTTGGAGCAATAGCTTTCTGCCTTGTATCACTTGGTTTGGGTTTAGATTGCTGATTTTTTGGATATTTTGTAGAATTATTTATAGGTTTAGCTGAACTAGCTTTTGTTGGAATACCATTGTCACTGTCACTACTGTTTTCTGGGCTGAATATACTTTTCTTTTTCAGTTTCTTTTGCACAGGCTCTGAAGTTGTTTTTGCAGATTTATCAGAAACTTTTCCATTAGTACTTGTGGAAGCTAGAAAAATATATTGTTAATTATTAAATGAAACTAAATGTTACATCATAAATATTATTTTAAATAAATATGTTCTTACTACAAGGCTTGTTTGGTTTGTTAGCGACCAATTTAGAATTTATAATATTTTTTTGTTGGTTAGTAGTAACTATTGCTTTAGCAGGTAGCCTCTGTTGTTTAATAACAGGTGCTACTGTAGCAGTTGCTTTAGGTTTGGCTGGTGATTTTCTTTTTGTTGTTGCTTTTACTTTGCTTGGTGACTCTTCTGATTCTGAAGAATATACTACAGGTCTATTCTTTGGTGGTATCCTCTCTTTGCTTTTATTTTCTACGGATGTAGTAACAACTGTATCAGTTTTAGATTTTCCATGTCTATTAGGAGGGAAAGTTGTCTTCTTTTTTGTTCTTTCCGCATCAGATGCTTTTTGGCTATTAGCAGAACTACTAGAATTTTCTGAATCAGATGAGCTAGATTCACTGCCTGAACTTGAAGAACTACTAGATGAAGAACCAGAACTTGTTGTTGAAGTGGATTCTGAACTAGTGGTCTGTCATTAATAATAATAATATATATTTAAATATTATTTCAAATTTTTGTGAAATCAAAATAATTGTATAACCTATACAAGATGTACATACTTTCCATTTTGGAGTCATTTCTACAGTGCTATCTCTGAAATAAATAGTAAACAGTATTTAACATCATTTCTGCAGTGATATTTATACTCCTCCCAGGCATATATGGAGGAATTATTTAATAAACTTGATCAGAGCAGACAAATCTTTCATTTTATACTTTAACTCATAACAAGTCCACAACATACTCCACTTCTGCGCTCTGCGTAAAACTTATACGACCTTAGGGCTAGTTTGGAAATGATAAAAAATGATTTATATTTTCTCTATATAATACTTTAATTATAAGTGATTTATAAGCAATTCTTGAAATGATATTTATTTAATGTTAATATTTAGATATTCCAAAATATTTTCTAAGTCCAAAAAAAGATATAAAAATGGATCGTTTATAACACGCACTGTTTCTTACTATATTTCGTGATTTACTCATGAAACATAAATCTATAGATGGCGCATTCCTCGAGATACTTCAAATGTATCTTTTCATGTCGTCTAATGTCAATTTACGTAAATTAATTTTGCATTTTTAAATTTAATTCAGAAAGAACACGAAAGAAACCGAAGTTACAATGACGGCGTTCGAAGGTAAATATTAATTAAACACATTTTTCGTGTTTTTGTGTTTGATGGAAAAAAATTATAATCAAAGACAGTTGATACAGTACATTAATAATACTTTATTTTAGAAATGGGTGTTTTGCCAGAAATCGCGAAAGCAGTTGATGAAATAGAGTGGACGTAAGTAAATAAAATTTTATTTCATGTATAACAAGAAATATTAAATAACATCAAATATTTTTACATAGACTGCCAACTGATGTCCAGGCTGAGGCAATTCCACTAATTTTGGGTGGTGGAGATGTATTAATGGCTGCAGAAACTGGCAGTGGAAAAACTGGTGCCTTCTGCCTACCAGTTTTGCAAATTGTATGGGAAACTTTGAAGGATTTAGAATCTGGTAAAATAGGCAACACGTCTAGCGGACATTATCAACCTTGTATGTTATCTTGTCATAATTGTCGCAAGATATTTTATCTTCTTACACTCATTGTTGTTATTTGTAATTATTTATAGCTGCACATTGGTCATTAAGTTTATTTGATAGAGATAGTGCATTAGCTGTAACTCCAGATGGTTTAAGATGTCAAAGTCGTGAACAAAAAGAATGGCATGGTTGTAGAGCAAATAAAGGAATTCAAGGAAAAGACAAGTACTTCTTTGAAGTTATAGTAACTGATGAAGGATTGTGTCGTGTAGGATGGTCCACATCACAAGTAATTTTTAATTTTTTGACAATTTTTAAAAAATAGTCAAAATAGTATTATCAAAGTATTACAACTATTATCATATTTGTGATATAGGCTTCACTGGATTTAGGGACAGATAAGTTTGGTTTTGGGTATGGTGGTACTGGTAAAAAATCAAATGCAAAACAATTTGATAATTATGGAAAGGCTTTTGGAATGCATGATGTAGTCGGATGTCTTCTAAATTTGTCAAAGGGTGAAATTAGTTTTACATTGAATGGCGTGAATCTGGATACAGCATTTACCCTAAATGCACAACAAAAATCATATACTTTTTATCCAGCTGTAGTATTAAAAAATGCAGAAATGTCGTTTAATTTTGGAGCACAACCATTTAAATATCCCCCTTCAAATGATTATATAGCTGTTGCTTCAGCTCCTAAAGAAGTCATAAAGGAGAATCCTATAAACAGTAGCCAAGCTCAGAATAAGGAAGATGGTAAACCTAAATGTAATGCTCCCCAAGCTATAATAATGGAACCTTCGAGAGAACTTGCTGAACAAACTTATAATCAAATTCAAAAAGTAAAATACCAATACTTATTAATATTGTTGTTAAATATTTATTTATTTTTACTTTATTGTCTAAAATATCACATAAAATCATATCTCTGTATAGTTTAAAAAATATTTGAAAGATCCAGTCATTAGAGAATTGTTAGTTATTGGTGGAGTTAGTGTAAAAGAACAAATTGCTACATTAAATTCTGGCGTGGACATAGTAGTTGGAACACCAGGCCGTTTAGAAGATTTAATACAAGGTGGCTACTTATCCTTAACACATTGCAGGTATTTCACAACACTTACACTACATTTGTCAAGGTAATGGTTGTTATAGTATAATTATTGTGTTAGGTTTTTCATTTTGGATGAAGCTGATGGTCTATTAAAACAAGGCTACACAGAATTAATCGATCGTTTACACAGACAAATACCAAAAATTACATCAGATGGGAAAAGATTACAGATGATTGTTTGTTCTGCCACATTGCATGCATTTGAAGTTAAGAAAATGGCGGTAAATATTTAAAACTGCAATTGTATTTTTATACAATATTTCATGAAAATAAATGTGTAATAAATATTTATTTTGCACAGGAACGTTTGATGCATTTTCCAACATGGGTAGATTTGAAAGGTGAAGATGCAGTTCCTGAGACTGTACACCATGTTGTTGTAATAGTAGATCCACAGAAAGATAAATCTTGGCATAATTTAAAAAAACATATAGAAACTGATGGTGTTCATAGTAAGGATAATATAAGACCTGGAAATAACAATTCTGGTATATATCTCAAAATCAATAATCTTATATAAATTTGTTATTATCAGTTATATGACCAAACATGCTTTACAGAGACACTCTCAGAGGCTGTGAAGATATTAAAAGGCGAATACTGTATTCGTGCTATTAAAGAACACAACATGGACAGAGCCATAATTTTCTGTAGAACTAAATTAGACTGTGATAACTTGGAACGATATTTGAAACAATATGGAACTCAGTTTTCATGTGTATGTCTGCACGGTGATCGAAAACCCGCAGAACGCAAATCTAATTTAGAAAAGTTCAAAAAACAAGAAGCAAAGTTCTTGATTTGCACCGATGTTGCAGCTAGAGGTTTAGATATTTCAGGACTACCTTTTAGTACGTAATTTTTACTAATATTTAATAAATTTTTATGTAATTATGATTTTACCTTCTATATAATCTTTTTCTAGTGATTAATATAACTCTACCTGATGAGAAATCGAATTATGTACATCGCATAGGTAGAGTCGGTAGAGCTGAACGAATGGGATTAGCAATTTCATTAGTTAGTAAAATTCCTGAAAAAGTATGGTATCACGGTGAATGGTGTTCTTCTCGTGGGAGAAATTGTTCTAATACTAATCTTACTGATAAAGGTGGTTGTTGCACTTGGTACAACGAACCGAATGTAAGCTTTAACATACTGTGATGTGTTTATTTTGTATTTTCTTTTTGATATTCAATTACTAATGTTATTTTTTCCAGTACTTGGCCGAAATTGAGGATCATTTGAATATCACAATTCAACAAGTCGATGCAGATATGAAAATTCCAGTAAATGACTTTGATGGAAAAGTTGTATATGGAGAAAAGAGAGCGACCATGGGTATGTAAATTTTGTATTTGTGTTGTAATGTGAATTGTATCGTAATATTTATAATTTTTTCTAGGTTCTAATTACCAAAATCATGTACAGCAAATGGCACCATATGTGTCCGAATTGTCTTCTTTGGAATCAAAGACACAACTTTTGTATTTGAAGAGACATCATATGGTAAAAACGAACTGAAATGCTTTGAAGTACTTTATAATTAATTAAGAATCACGGTTTATTATTAATTAAATTTTCAATTAATTATTCTATCTTTGAATATTGTATGTCTATATGTTATACTAGTGTTTGAATAGTCTCTTAATATTTATAAACATAGTGTACTTCCAAATGTAATATATAAATTTGTTACAAGTAATACAACATTTTTAGTTCATGTAACGCATTTTGACATTTACTTTATAATTAACTATTAATGAAGTATTCTTGATATATCAATTCTAAAAAAGATGTGTGACTTAGATAGCATTTAAATAGTATATGTGTATATAAGACATACGGTAAGTGTTTATTGTATTTTTATAATTTTCATAATTGTACCATTGCTATTTTAGTTACACAAATGTATAATACAGTGGCCTTGCAGTGTTGTCGGTTTTTTTAATTTTCACAATATTTCTTCGTATGTTTTTTGTTTCTTTTTTCTTTTTTTTTTTTTTTTTTTTTTTTTTTTTT